TAACCCTGCACATCTCATCGACTTCCAAACCCCTGCTCCTTTTCGACCGTTCTGGGATTCTGTGACACCCCCACGGGGCTGAGTTCCCACAGACATCTGTTAAGCAACATCCCTGGCTGTCATTAACTGCCCATTTCGTCTTTCCAGGCTGTCAGTGCGTTAGCTGGAGTTCAGGATCAGCTCATTGAGAAGCGTAAGTCACCTTTTCCTTTCTTCCTCCGTTGGCAGAATTGGGAAGAATTAAACTTCTCCTCACAGCTCGGCCCCATCTTCGCTTCACTGGGCTCTGCTGTCTGCTCTGAATGGAGAAACAAGGACTGAAGCGATGCATTTCGGTGCCTGTGTCTCTCCATCAGTTGCACGTGGCTGTGGGAGAAGATGAGAGCTCCAATTCTGGAGGCTGCAGACCTTTCCTTCTGCTGTCACCATAACTTCTGAAAGAGTGATCAGGCACTGCAATGGGCTGCCCAGGGAGGTGGTGGAATCACCGACCCTGGAGGTGTTCAAGGAACGTTTGGACGTTGTGTTGAGGGACGTGGTTTAGTGAGAACTGTAGATGGTAGATGGTTGGGCTGGGTGCTGCTGTGGTTCTTTCCCAACCTTGGTGATTCTATGATTCTATAACTCTGGGTTCACCGTGTGCTGATCAGGTGCTGCGTTTCCAGTTCTTGGCATCAGAAACTTCAGTTTCTGTAGTGTTTGTAGTTCTTCTCCCTGACTCTTTGCAGGAGCAGCCTGAGATGTGAAGTGTGGGGACGTAACCACAGGGCTGCTCTGCTTCTCATCCCATTGCAGGTGAACCGGGCAGCGGGACGGAAAGCGACACCTCTCCAGACTTCCACAACCAGGAGAACGAACCCAGCCAGGAGGATGCTGAGGAGCTGGATGGATCTGTGCAGGGGGTGAAACCCCAAAAAGCCGCTTCCTCCACTTCTGGGAGCCACCACAGCAGCCACAAAAAACGGAAGAACAAAAATCGGCACAGGTCAGTGGCACCAGCAGCCTTTTAGTAGTGCACTGGGAATGGTTAGCTCTTGCTGAACGGGCTTAATTATGTGAAGGGAGCTGATAAGTTGTGAGCATAACAAAGTGTTCAGGTCGTTTGGTTACATCACTTGCTTGGAAGCTGTGTGCAGCCTGTGCTCCTGCTGTGTCAGGGAGGGGAAGGCACGTGAGGCAGCTCAACAGTCAGCACAGGGTACTCACAGCTCAGAGACGGTGGTGTTTTTGACCAGGCCTTGTCGGTTCTTTTCTCTTTCAAGCAGAATAAAGCTGTCTTCCCTGCAGTAGAGGAAGATTACAGTCCTGGTCTCCTGTGATTGTTCCTTGGTTTCTACAGAGCCAAGGAAGATAGGAATGTCACTGCTTTCTCTGGAGAAGGAGGATGGGAAAACAACTTAGAGTGTTTTGGGGGCTGCTGACTCTCAGTATCTTTACTACATTTTCTACTCCAAACCTTTTCTGTTGTCATGTCCCAGAGTCGTTTGATTACAGCGTGTACAAGTTGCTTTATCACACAGACCACTAGTTTTTGTTATTAAACTGCCCTGAAACTCACGTGAAACAGCTCTCCTGAACTCTTTATGATTGAATTTAGGCGACCACTTCTATTCCTTAAGGCATGCCTTCAAGGCACAGTGGGCTGAAGGCCCAGAAATTGGGAATCATTGAATTCCAGTGCTGTTTTCCCTGGCTCAGTGTAACCTGCACATTAGGTATCATCACTGAGCTCGTTGGCTTTGGATCCGGGTGGAGGTTCCTCTTTGAGGAGCCTTCCCATACAATTGCAGATGTTTTAAATAGCAGTGATAGATGTCACAGAGACTGCTGGGAAAAGGTCTGAGAGACACCGAGGTAGGTACAGTGCCTGCAAACTAATTAACTACTGCTTCTTCTTAGTTAGGTTTTCTGTCATTAGCATTTTTAATTGCTAGGTCAGGATTTTCTTCCCGCAGCAGCCTTCATCAGGCACACATCCCAAAGTGTTGGATGTCCTTTTTGGTTCCTCCTGAGCTAGGAACCAGAAGCAGTTCAGAAGTGCTTTTTAGCCCACAGACAGTTGGGAGGAAGGCCAGAAGTAGCAGAGTGCATCTCTAAACCACTTCAGAGAAGCAGTCTGTACAACTGAGGTACAGCATGAGAGCAGATTGCAGAGCACTGCTGGACACTTACATGGAGCACGAAGCAATCTGCTGCAGGACAGTGGGGGCCGGTGCAAATGCCATAAATAATATAAACTCTTTTGCTCCATTACATAACCCAAACTGTAGTGATGAGAGTTAGGAAGAAACTGCCCTACTGGAAGCTTGTGTGGCTTTGGGCTTTCTTCTGCATGCCTTCCTGTGAAGCAGCTGATACGGGCTACTGTTGGAGACAGAATATTGGACATGAGGAGCCCTGGTGTGATCTGGTATGGCAATTCTTGTCATCCTAAGAGATGCATCCAAGTACAGAAAGGATTTTGCAGATATTGTGTAATGCTTAACAAGGCCAGGTAGTGGAAAGTAATTACGTTGGTCTGCAATGCAAACTGTTAGAAGTTGTGATTGCTGCTAACGACTGTCCCCTAAATTTCAGCAGAAGAGCCCAAATGATCTTCAAGGTTTGAACCAAACAAAAGCCAGTCCCAATCTTTTTAATGGCACAGCTCATTCAGAAGCTCTTTCATTTCCAGCATGCATTTGAGTTCTGCTCACCTGTTCCTGAAGGACTGGGAGGTGCTGGGAATGGACGCTCTGAAGGTGCACTGACTCCACGTAGCTCCAGTTTTTCTCACTCTTGTGCCACCAGTGGCAGCGAGGGGAGTTGGATTCAGATAGAGCAGAGCTTGTGTGAATAGCTGGTTTAATTCCTGACAATTAAAGCAGGAGCTCACGTGGCAGTGTTTTATTGAAGCCACCCTCTGTTCCCTCAGACCGCAGAAGGCCCAGATGATGGTTCTCATGGCTAAAAAGTGTTTCAGGTGAAAACAGCCCTCCTTCCTCTTAGAGACCCAGTGCTGAGAAGCGCCAAGCAGAGCAGTGAGCTTTGGGGCAGAGCGCAGTGCCATCAGTGTTGGGTGCTGACAGGTGGGGTGGGAATGCAGCAAGCCATGGTTGGACTTGAGAGCTCCCAAAGGGATGTTTGGGTGCAAGGGGAGTGGGGCGTGCATTGAGGGAGCATCGAGCGCCTGCGTGGCCACGTAGCTTCATGGTTGTCTCCACCTCTGCCTGAACAAGCTTTGCTTTGCTCAGTAATCTAGCCAAAGCCACTGCTTCCTGAGCACCCGTTGGGTTCTGTGAGCAAATCCGTGCTTTGATCTGTGAGCTCTGCAGCCCTCAGCACGCAGCGTAACACCGCTCCTAACACCTCCATCCCCACCATCCACCTGGGGCTGGGGCTCTGTCAGATCTGCAGTGCTTCTTATGTTGTTGTTATTGTGCCCCGTTCTGGTTCAAGAACCTTCAAGTTACCCTTCAGAACTTTGTGGCGTTTTGAACACTGGCTTTCATTTATTTATTTACTTATTTATTTGTAGTATTCTCGCTAGGGTGGCTAATCGACTAATTTATTTAATTCGTTAGTGTATTAATTTCTATTGCTTTCTTCCTTTCAAATGCTGCCCCTCAGCCCGTCTGGCATGTTTGATTATGACTTTGAGTAAGTTTGACTTGAATTAGTACTTGTGCTGTGTTGTTAGTGTGTAGACACCAATGTGCCTTTTGAGACCTTTCTAACCCATAGTTTATCTGTTTAATTGTAGGTATGTATATTAGGTTAGGCTGGGAAGTTTTTTTAAAAAACAGAAAAGCGTGATGGAGGTAACATTTTATTTAATAACTTCGGCAAAATTAAATTAACTTCACTCTCCTTGACCTCTCTGTTCCGTTTTTTAAGTAGATCAACTCTTTAACTTAAACGTGTCGTTTAAAAACTGATTCTTCTGGCTTTGCTTCTGAAGGAGATCAGTGTAGATTTGGTTGTTTCCTTCTGGACATCCATAACCAACTCCGTACCTCTGTCTCCTGTAATCCCTGCCATCTTAAACTCCTCTCTCTGTCCCTAGTAAATAACCCTTGCCACTGTGTCTGGATAATTACCTGTGGCATAGTTACACATCTAACAATGAACGTAGAGCATGCGTGTGTAACAGTATTTCCTTGTGCTGCACAACTTCCCTGTGATTTTTATTAACTCTTTTCCTGAATGGAACGGAATATGCATTGTGGCAAAGAACAAAGAATCCACTCTCCTTCTCTTTGCTGTTCTCTTGTAATGTTGGGACAGTGATTTGGCTCAGCCCAATCGAGAATGTGGATTGAATTAACCGAATAGCCTTTGTCGTAGCCTGTGCCATATTCAGTAGCTGGTTCTTTGCAACCTACTGTTTGTGTCGTGTATTGAAATGGACGTTTCTCTTATCTTTCCAACCACAGGATTGATCTCAAGTTAAACAAAAAGCCGAGAGCTGTAAGTATCAGTGCTCTGTCATTGTTTTTGTTGCTCATCCTGGAAAGCCTCCTCTGCCGTGATAGGAGATGTTGTTTGTTGTGCTTGGGGAATGTGTAGGGATGAAGTGTAAGCGTTGTCTTCCAGATCTGATAGTGAATAAGCCCAGGTGGGCTCATTACGGAGCAAGGTTGCACTTCAGCTGTGTGCACGTGAACAAAAAAGCTGTTCTGCATCTTTCTGTTCTGTCATGAAGTGCACCAATAAAAGCACCTGGTTTGGGCTGAAAACAAATCTCTTTTCTCTTTTGCCTTCAGCTCATGGCGTGTAGAATGAGAGAAGGCAAGGCATCCCAGCTCTGCCAGCAGAGGTGGAAGTAGAAAGGTCTTAACGTGCCCATCTTCTGTCTCTGCAGGACTACTAGACACATCAGTGCTGAAGATTCTGGGATCCGGTCCTACATGAATCCCCACCAAGAATAACTCCAGTCATCTGAACGAGCACAGTGGCAGCTCTCTGGCCACGTGTGTGCAGAAGGGAGCCATCCACTCTAACCAACTCAAGGGGGAGAAAGCCTTGGACATGTCTTTGCATCATTTTTAGACACCCTGACTGACAGGAGATGAAGGTGTAGTAGTAGAAGTCCTCAATTCCTGGCTATTCTGTGCTTCCAGCTCAGTCAGGAGCTTCCTTCAATTGGCTGATCTTACTGCTGCCTCTGTAAAACCGTGGGGAGGCATTTCCTTTCCTGCTGGAATAGGGCTGTGATTCACTGTGTCCCATCCACACTGTAAGACTTAGGTTCCTTTTGTTACTGAGACGTAGCTTTGTGGTTTTGTTTGTTTCTTTGTTGTTTTGTTTTGTTTTTTTTAAACCAAAGTGCATCGTTAATAAATGGGCTTTTGGTTTGTTTTAATGCCTGTAGAGAGGAAGGTTCTTCGTTCTGTGGAACAGCTCAGTTTGGTTTGTAGGTAAGCAGAGAACAAAGTGGCCATCCAGTTTCTCTGACTTTTCTTTTGAATGCCATCCCCTGAAGTTGGCACAGTGCTTTTAGACGCAGAGGAGGCTGGAGCTCAGAGCCACCTTGCTCTCTGCTATCTTTGACATTGGGTAGATTCTCTTTTTAATACAAACTTCCCTCATTTGTACATAAACAATAAAAGTCACATTCGTCTCTCATCCCGTGTTCTGTTCAGTCAAAATATTGTCTCCCAATGCTTTTTATTCTCCATCAGCTTTGTGAGGAGTTTGCTGCAGCTCCTCCACTTTCACATAGCAGCTGCTTTTGTCCCATGACCCTTTGGAGGAATCATTTGTGCTTGCTCTCCTGCAGTAGACATAACATGGAGTGCTTGAAAGGATTGCCAGGCATTAATCTCCAGCCATGTTCAACTAATCCTGCATCAAGGTAGGCCTTGGATGGCAGACAGTCCTCAGTGCTGCTGGCGGCGTGCCTGCAGATAAGGGATGGGCAATTTGGATTGCTGCTGGGAAAGCACACAGAGGGGTGAATGTTTGGTGCTTTTCACAGCGGCCGAGTCAAGATAGCAGTGTGTGGAAAGCAGCTGTGCCTTTCCCAAGGTATTGGGAAGGTGTTGGGTATTGCCAGTTACCTGTGCTGGGATGCTTTTGCTTGCTTAAACAGTTCAGAGGGAGAGAGTGCAGTGTAAAAAGTTGTAGCAGTTGCCTTACAGCCTTCCATGTACTTCTATGTGCGCTTGTTACAGCGGAGCCTGAATTCTGCTCTGCTTCACTTCTCCTTTCCTGGGGTCCTGCATTGCAGCTCCTTGTGGCAGCAGCAGCGACCATCTCCCCTATGCAACCCTGCCATGCAGGACCTGCAGGTGAAGGTGAACACATAGGAGCACAGTTCCCCCTTGTTTTCTCGTTAGGGAATGGAGGCAGCTCTGTGTTTGCTCCTGGTGGCTCCTGCCTTAGCCCACAGCAGTGAGTGCTGCTGCTGCTGCTCAGCCACGGGGAGCTGCTGGGACAGAGTGGCTTAATGGGAGAGCAGTAAAGCTGCCCTACTTTTTTGTGTTTAAAGTTATTCCTCTTAAGAGGTAAAAGAGAGAGGAATAGAAGATGTAGGAAATAGCATAAAGTCCTGACAGGGCCTGCTTTGCTATAGCTGTGGAAAAAAAGACGACTTAGCTGATGGTTTCTGACTACTTGACCTTGGTACAAAAGCTGCTTTTCTCTGGTGCTCTTTTTCCCTGGTGCTGCTGTTCCAAAGCAAGGTTTGTAAAGGCCTGACCTCGAGGGGTCCGTGCTGCACCTCTGACCTCAGGGACAGCGTTGGACCTTTTGGGCTGGAAAGTCTCCCCTGCAGAGAAACAGCAAAAGGGCTTCATGTCACACAGAGAGCCTCACGTGCCAGAGATTTTATGGCAAAGCATCCGTTGGCTCTGCGTCCCTGCAATATGGACTGGGGGTGCTGCAACCTTCCCCAGCAGTGCTTGTCCCTGAGGGAAAGGGACAAACAGACTCAATGGGTTCTGATTGAGGAGATGGCTGCCCATCACGGTGTTCAAGGAGCCCCGTCCCGTCCTGCTGCAGCTTTCAGGCTTGAGAAACCACGGTGTCCACTGGGGTCTGCTCCAGCAGAGGGAGCAGAACTGCACGTCCCAGAGCAAAAGCTGTCGGCAGTGACAGCGCTGCAGCATCAGCTCCCTCGAGGTGCTGTTGTAATGGGGGTTTGAGTCTGCTCAGTTTGAGCACAGCAGCACTGCCACCTGCACCAGGGGCGTGAGGCAGAGCCTGGGCCAGGCTGGCATCGCCTGAACCTTCCCCTCTATTTCCTGAGACCTTTATTTCTCTTCCTACACAGCTGGAGGGTGCAAAGCTCCCCAGGCCGGGACAGCTGACCTTGAACCTGGCTGCCCAGGCTTCACCTCAATGCCGATGAAAGCCAAATACAGTTACAGTATTTTGTGCAGAAATTTTGTACAGTACTTTGCTTGCAGAAGATGAATCCTGAGCAAAGAGCGGTGGTGGCCCAGCAGCCACTGTCCTTATGGTGACTGAAGGTAGAGCAGAAGTACCCCTAATCCCTGGCACAGCCTCGTCAGCAAGAGGATTAGGCAGGCATTTAGCAATCCTGAGCAACGGGCTGAAGGCATAGCAGCAGGCAGGAGGAGCAGCAGCCTCCACAGCCTTGTCCAGCAGCTCTCCCTGCACCTCCTGCCTGAGTTGAGCTGGGCTGCACTGCCAGGTAAGTGGGCACAGCAATGGGGGAGGAGGGCTGCTCGCCCTCCTGTTGGCAGGGCTGGGTGCATCCTGCAGCCACTGCCTGTCCTGGGATCTGCAGTACGTCTCCATTCCACTCCCTGTCTGCAGGATCCCCATGAGGAAGAAGCACAGCCCAGGGAGGCCGTGGTGGAGGCAGCTCCTGCGTTCTGGGTGCTGGCAGCTCCTGTCCCTTTCCAGGACAGCTCTGCAGGGGCTGCAGTGGCTCTGGAGGCTGTTGTGGGTTGGTGCTATGGGGCTCCCTCAATATGGGACTGCATGCATGTGTGGGCTTCGCACTGTTGTAGGATTGCAACCGGGTTCATTGGGCAGGAGGTTGTGAAGAGCCCTGGGGATGTGGGGTCTTTGCTCCCCCTTCAGACCCTGTCATCCTCAGTGGGTCCCACTGCACTCTGCTCTCCCTCAGTACCTTCTGATGTGCTACACAAGCTGCTGGGACATCGCCTTCCAGTTTGCTGAAGAGGTAAAGCCCCCCACCACAACGGGGACTCATGGTGACGCGGTGCTGAGTGGCAGAAGGGTCCCTATGGGCACCACACAATGGGGTTCAGTCCAGGGTGCCTTCCAGCTGCTGGGGGTGGACCATGACAGTGAGGGGGGCGAGGAAGAGGAGGACGGGATGGCTGCTGCTGTGCTGGAGTCTGAGCAGACAGGTGGGTGCTGAGGGGCAGGTGAGGCCCTGGTGCCAGCTCAGATGGAGCAGAGCTGTGGTGCCTGGGCAGTGCTGGAGCTGCAGCGGCTGCGTGACGCCAACGAGGCCACAGTGGGGAGGTTGGAGGCACTGGAGGATGATGTCCGCTTCCTCTGCACCGAGCTGGGAGCTGAGAAACTGCTGTGGAGCAGTCGGTTCTTGGAGCTGCTGCGGGAGCAGCAAGAGCTGCGGCAACGGGTGGGTACCTCTGCAGGGTCCTCAGGATCTCTGGAGTGTTCCCCTTGCCCCCCCAACACAGTCACTCATACCCTGTTCCAGCTCCTGCAGAGGGACAGCAGAGACAGCCTTGAGCTGCTGGGAGAAGCCGAGATGCTGAATGAGAATGAAGGAGAGGATCCTGCAGGTAGAGCTGGGGCCGTGAGGTTGCAGCAGGGGAGCAAGGAGCTGGTGTCTGGGGAAGGGGCTCCCAGCCCCTGCACACTGCCAAAGGGCTCCACTGCACGGAGCAACGCTGTCAGCTCATCCCATGCCCAGGCAGCTTCTGGAAGCCTGGGGTTCTGTGCCAGGCAGGAGCTGTAAGTGCCACTGAGAGCTGGGTACCAGGGGCTTGCTCAACCCAGAGCTGGGACAGTGCAGTCCTCTCACGTTTCCACATCCCTGTATGTGCCCATCTCATCAGCCTCATCTGATAGCATTTGGTGCCAGCCAGGCCCTGCCCAGCCCTGCCTTGCCCAGTCCATTTAGCAGAACTGCAGCCATTTCCCAAAAACACAAAACCACCAGGAGGCAGCTTGCAGTGAGCCAGCTCCCCGTGCACTTGGAGATGGGGTCCTGGCTGTGGCTCTTACTGCAGCCAGTGCTGTGCTGGAACACGGTGCTACAAGTTGTCCTCATGCTCAGTGCAGAAACCTGGGAGCCAAGCACCACCCAAGGCCACACACTGCCTCCTGCTCTGCCCCAGGGCAAGTCACTGCTGTGTCCACAGCAATGGCAGTGCTCCCTGGGGACCCAGCCAGCATCCTCCTCAGCTGTTGCAACACTTCGGGAGTGTCCCGGAACAAGGATTGTGGTCACTGAAAGTTCCCACCATCACCTTTCATGAGCTGGAGGAGCTGTGGCAACGGAGGGATTGCAAAACCCAAGCACTGCCCCATTTACTTCCTTCTTAGATGAATACATCCCCTCCATCAGCATCTTCCCACACGTGTTGCAACTCTGACAGGCCCCTGGTGGAGGGACGCATCGTGGGGAACAGCTGAGGATGGGAGGTGGGATTTGTTCCAGTATGAGCACAGAGCAGCCAACACCAATCCACCTCCGCCAGAGCAGTGGGGGCTGCACACCCTCAGCCTCTCTTCTGCTGATATGAAATAAAGGATGGCTGCTTCCTGCAGGTCTCATTTATTCAGCGTGATGCCTGCAGCTCCTGGTGCCCAGCCCTGCCCCAGGCCCTCACTGCAGCCCAACACGTGGCAGCAGCCAGCACCATGCTGAGCACCAGGTGCATTTGTGCTGCAGCCGTGATTCACTTACGGAAATCATTGTGGATGTGCAGATAGGCTCGTGCTGTTCAAAGGAGCGTGTGGCAGCAGCATTTCCTGCCGCCCTGCAGATAATCTGCTTTCTGAGCAGCCTATGCAAACCAGCTGCTCCTCAGCTGCTCTCACTGCAGCTCCAGCCCCGTGCTCAGCCCTTCCTTGTAGGTACAGCACCAGGGCCACCACCAGCTGCCTCTGAGCTTGGCAGTGGTGGAGCCAGGCATGCCCAGCTCTGAGCAGCTCCCAACAGGTGCCAGCTAAAGGGGAATGCAACTATCTGGGCTGGGCAGGAGAAAACTCCATGTTTCTTCTGACTCCTCTCCAGCTGCTGCTTGCTGTGAGATGGAGTTTGTGCCTGGCGTCAGCACAGAACTGTGCCTTGGCACGTGGCTGAAGGTCAGCCCAAGTGTGTATGACCCTGTCCTACAGCCAGAACTGGCGTCCGGCCCCACAGCTTCTGTGGGCACAGTCCTATGCCAGCACCAGGCAGACTTGTTTGCTGCTGCTTGTCAATTAACCCTGTGTCACTGCGCAACAGCTGCCACCAACCCAGTCCTTCACTGTGCCCCACTGCAGCCCCTGCTTCCCAGGGCACTGCATGCAGGGACTGCTCCTCCCGACGTGCCCATGCAGTGCCCACACCTCAGGGAACTGATGCAATGCAAATAGCAGCAGCCTGACTCATCCTGCATTGACCTGGCTCCTGCATCGTGCTTGAAATGGGACAGCCCCACTCTTCTTAG